TACCTATCTATACATGTAATTATATACTAGAAAAATCGCGCGCTAGGCTTGATAGGCCAACTCATGGAATTTCATTTCGGTCGTTCCCTGCGTCCAGGGACTCCCTTGGAGGCCCTGCTCAAGCCTCGGAATCGTATAGAAGGGAAAGTGTGGAAACGCAGAAATCATTGAGTTCCTTTCGGTATTCAACTTTTTGGGGCCCTCACACAGGCTTCATGGGTTCTTTTTTGGGAGGTGAGGGGGGTCTGAATTGTGGTCTGTTGTGCAAGAGTAGACCGGGGGCCAAACTTGAAAAACAAAAAAAAGGAATTATGGGATGTCCATGCTTTTCCAGTTCCTCGGCGCTGTTCGGCGCTGTTTTTTGTTTGTGCCTCGCGGGTTTTGTTAGCCGGGCCCCTCAAGGGTGTGGGATCTTCCGGACTCCCTTGAGCTTCTGGAGGCCTCCTGGAGGCCTGGAGAGCCGCCAGAAGGGTGTCTCGAACTGCGCGGGAGCGTGTTGGGCCGTTCTTTACGTTCTGGGGGCTTCTTGAGGTCGTCATGGGCTGTCCTTCGGCGTCTTGGGGTCTCGCCCCAGGAAGCTGGGAGGCGCGGTACTGGCCAAATGTCAGGGGATGTGTGGGACCCCCGAGTAGGAGTCCCACTTTGAAAAAAAAGAATTATGGGAATTCTGCGTTTGTTCCAAAATCCTCGATCTCCGAGGGTTGGAAGCGGGAAAACGTGAGAACGCGAAAAACATTAGAAAACATGATGGACCCACGAACCCGGAAAGGGATATAGACATGTGGAGCATGGGCACGTTTTCACGATACCCAACGGGGCAACACCTCACGAAACATCCCACGAGACACCTCACGAAACATCCCACGAGACACCTCACGAAACATTCCGCGAGACACCTCACGAAACATTCCAGGAGACACCCCGCGAAACATTCCACGAGACACCCCACGAAACATTCCACGACGACAGGCAACCACTCAACCAAGGCGGTGTGGTCGTGCTGGGGAGTGGTCGTGCTGGGGTGTGGTCGTGCTGGGGGGTGGTCGTGCTGGGGGTGGTCGTGCTGGGGGGGTGGTCGTGCTGGGGGGTGGTCGTGCTGGGGCGTGGTCGTGCTGGGGCGTGGTCGTGCTGGGGCGTGGTCGTGCTGGGGTGTGGTCGTGCTGTGGTGAGGTCGTGCTGGGGTGTGGTCGTGCTGGGGTGTGGTCTTGCTAGGGGTGTGGTCGTGCTGGGGTGTGGTCGTGCTGCTGGGGTGTGGTCGTGCTGGGGCGTGGTCGTGCTGGGGCGTGGTCGTGCTGGGGCGTGGTCGTGCTGGGGTGTGGTCGTGCTGTGGTGAGGTCGTGCTGGGGTGTGGTCGTGCTGGGGTGTGGTGAGGGTCGTGCTGGGGTCGGGTCGTGCTGGGGTGTGGTCGTGCTGGGGTAGGTCGTGCTGATTTCAAAAACAAGCGTTTCGCTCGAGACATCCTCAAATTTTAATTCGCCGGCCTCAAAAACAAGCGTTTCGCTCGAGACATCCTCAAATTTTAATTCGCCGGCTCGTTATTTATCATGGAAAAAATTCGCCGGCAATTCGCCGGCTCGTTATTTATCAGGGAAAAAATTCGCCGGCAATTCGCCGGCTCGTTATTTATCAGGGAAAAAATTCGCCGGCCTCCTTCAAGCAGGCACCGGGGGACTAGTTTACCTAGTACAAAGAGAACCCTGGGCTCTTGCCCTTTCCGGGAAACGATCTCCGAGGGTTGGAAGCGGGAAAACGTGAGAACGCGAAAAACATTAGAAAAAAAAACATAGGAAATTAACGATTTGACCCTCTTGGGGCTCTCTCGGGACGGCTCTCGCAGCTCTCTTGGGCTGTTCTTGGAGCCTCGTCGGGGTCTTTTTGGGGCCTCTCAAGGATCGGGGGGGTGTTGGGGGCCTCTGAGGGGTCCCGGAGGCCTCTCGGAGGTCTCTGGAAGCCTCCTGCTCCCGCTCTTGGGCCCATCTTGGGCCTGTTCTGGGGTGGTCTGGGACTGTCCTGGGCGCCTCTTCGGCAATCTTGGAGCCTTCTTGGCCCATCTTGGGGCCGTCCTGAGGGTCTCTTGGGTGGTCTTGGGGCGGTCTTGGGAGTCTCTTCGCACTGAGTACGCTTCCAGCCTGGCCATCTCGAATCGGGCCAGTACTCGGGCAAGCACTGGATCGATGCGTTCGCCCCCCTCGACCCTGAAGTCGATGAGGGCCGTTCCCGAGGTGAACTGTCGCTCGTCCTCAAGGTTTACAAAGCTGGTGCTTAATAAGTGCATGATGTATGTGGCTCTATCGGTGCGTCCCCCCTGTTGATGATGGCGGACGGCACCCTCATGGCTAGTGTTCTAGCAAGACTAGCCAGGCCGCGCTGTAAGGCAGCAGCCTGTTGGGGTGGAGTCGCGCTTCCGCTCGCGACGTTAGGCCATGCGTGTACTTCGCGACCAAAGACGCGGAAGGGTGCGTTGCCTGCGGGATCCTAGAAGGGACCCCGAGTGCGTGTTTCATCCAGTCCTCCTCCTCGCACGCATGCCAGGGCAAGACCTATGCGCGCCCAGATGGTTCCGAAGATAGCGGCCTTGCTATAATGCATGGTCATGTTGTAGCTGCTAATGTCAGGTCTCGTGTCATGGGATATTGTCGCGCCGATTAGGTTGCGACTGAGTCTCTGGTCTGAAGTGGCCGTCAGTTATCGGATGGATATCGGTACTTGTGTTGTACGTGGCGCGTGGCCACGCAGTGGGGAAATGGAGGTATAGGAATGTAGGTTACGAGCTGGTTCAAAGAGTATCGGGAGTGTAGTGGCTGAGAGCCGGCGCAGTCGGGTACTCCACTGTACCGTGGCAACTTGCTGTGTACATAACACCTGATGTAAGAGCCAACCACATAAAGATGTAGCCAGCTCCGCTACCAAGTGACAAGCAAGGGTTGAGGGCTTGACTGAGAACCCTACTCTGAGGATAACGTCGGCGACGTATCGAGGTATCCCATAACTCATCCCGTGATGGCCGGCAGGTCGAGAACAAAGAGATGAGCCATGATATGGAGAAGCGGATCAGCGACAGACGTAGCCTGTGTTTGATACGCTGATCCAGATGGAGCCGCACACAGCCGTGCAACTGGCATGTAGGGCTGCGCAGTCCTGAGTCAAGACAGCAGCGGATATAACTTTCGCTGTACAGCCTCACCTTACACCGCGTTGAATGTATGTGTAAAGTCGGTGTACCTCCCCCCCTCACCAGGAGTCCCAAAAAATCATTGAAACGCGCGACTGGCTTCTACAAGTTCAGTGGGTTTGACATGTGTGTCGCGTTGTCTGCTCATTTTATTTGTCCGCCTGTATCCAATACCACAGTGGATCCTGTTGGAAAACCGCAACAAAAAGAATAATTGTGCAAGGCCGCTGTAGGGCCGCCGCAACAGGATAGTTGTTCTAAGGCTGGCCTGTGTAAGAGCGGCACGTCTAGCACCACAGATGTATTTTTATCAGCTTCGGGAGGTGCCTTGTCTGATAGAGGGTGGTTCACAGGAGAAGGGACGGGACTAAGGATTTGGTTCAGTCATCTTGGGGTGTGGCCTGGTCTAAGATTGGGTGCTATGCAGCAGAGGGGGCCCGTGTACGGGGAAGAAGACCACATCTATTGTACCAACAAGTTCTTTGTTATCAGCTTGTGGAGGGGCCTTGTCTAACAGAGGGCGCCTGTGTAGGATGAGAGGTTTGTGATAGAGCGAAGGCATGTGTAGCTCTACAGGGCTTCACTAATCAGCTTGGGGAGAGGCTTGCTTAGCAGAGGGGGCTGCACAGCACACGATGTAGACCTGTGTAGGGGGAAGGGCACGTCTACCACCAGACCACCGACCCACAAAACCACCCGACAACCAGATCACTTCGGCAACCTCGAATTGAAATGACGCCGCCCCTGAGAGACTGCATCATCCTTATCTCCTCCTCCTCCTCCTCATCATCCTTCTCCTCCCCCTCCTCCTCATCCTCCTCCTCATCATCCTCCTCCTCCTCCTCGTCGTCGTCCTCCTCCTCCTCCTCATCATCACCATCATCATCATCATCATCATCATCAGCAGCAGCATCAGCATCAGCATCAGCATCAGCATCAGCATCAGCATCAGCATCAGCATCAGCATCATCATCATCATCATCATCATCATCATCATCATCATCATCATCATCATCATCATCGTAATCGTCATCAGTAGCATCAGCATCAGCATCAGCATCAGCATCAGCATCAGCATCAGCAACATCATCATCATCATGACTACTATCACCATCGTCATCCCACTCCTCCCGTCAGTCTGCTGGTGATGCTGCCTCCTCATCCCCCGCCTCCTCCATAGTGGTGAACGGATAAGGAGGAAAGGATGGAATGAGCGAAGGATTCTTCCTAGAATTGAGCATGCTGAAAGGAAGAGGGAGAAAAACTGAGGAGGATGAGGAGGTGGCCAAGGTCTGGTGTCCGGAGCCCCAGGCCTGGGCGTGACTTTTCCTCCATAGTGGATCTCCACGGCCTCAGTTCGCCGCACCGGGTGGGCGTGAAACGTGGGCACCGCGCGCGCGCGTCAGCGGGCGCAAAGACAGGCGCGCTCCCTCCCAAACCCACTCCCTCTGCCCCTCCTCCTCCTCCTCCTCCGCCTCCTCCTCCTCCTCCTCCTCCTCCTCCTCCTCCTCCTCGTCCTGCTCCTCCTGCTCCTGCTCCTGCTCCTGCTCCCGCTCCTCCTCCTCCTGCTCCTCCTCCTCCTCCTCCTCCTCCTTCTCCTCCTCCTCCTCCTCCTCCTCCTCCTCCTCCTCCTCCTCCTCCTCCTCCTCCTCCCCCGCCGATGGGAAACCCGCAGGGCTCACTCAGACCTTGAGCGGCCAGGGCGGTACACCCGTGCAGCACGCAAACCCTCTGCTGGGTGCCTCTCGACAGCACGTGGCAAGGCGACAAAGGTCGTTACTCTAGAGAGGCGACAAAGGGCAAAGGGCGGGCAAGCGGAGGGCGGGGCCTCGTCACCACTTCGCCGTTGTACTTCTTCAGTCGCGACGAAAGCCACATCTCCATGACCTGAGAGCGAGACGATGAGAAAAAGATCGCGCAAGCTGTGATACCACAGCGTTTTTACTCTGCCTGGCTCTAGCATGCGTCGAAAGACATCCATCTTCGAGCCTCGGCGGCTACGGAACGCGCAACAGTAAGACATGCTTGAATGCACACCCGTCTACAAGAAAGCATGCGGCTGTCCATGCACTATCATTCGCAGCCCTCCTCCGTCGCATCCCCATGCCGGGTGCGCCGAGGAGGAGGGCCAGAGAGAGGTGGGCTAGCGCGTCGTGACCCGCGGCATGTGCGCGGACGAGGGGGGGCCAGGGAACGCACTGAAAGAAGAGACGGCGGCCATGATATGCGCAGACCCCTAGTTCTCATCCCCCACTCTTCGACGCCTGGTGGTTTCCCAGTCATAGCACTTCGGGCCTCTGGCGGCCGTTCGGGACCATTCGGGCACCCGCGGGAAGCTTTCGTCGAGGGGCAGCTGCTGGAGGGCACCCAAAAGCAAAAACGCACAAGCAACAAAACAACACATCAAACACGAAACAACAGGCACGCAAAAGACCCCAGCCACGATGCTCCCCCGCCTCTCTTTGGGACGCCCCTCGAGACGATTGGGGGGCGGGAGAGGCAAAACGGAGAATTGGCGGGAGACGGGCGCCTCTTCGCCCCTCCCTGTTCGTCATCCCGCCCCCCATCATCCCTCGCTTTTTCTCCACCGTCTCCTCCTCCTCCTCCTCCTCTTCCTCCTCCTCCTCCTCCTCCTCCTGATCCTCCTCCTGATCCTCCTCCTCCTCCTCCTCCTCCTCCTCCTCCTCCTCCTCCTCCTCCTCCTCCTCTGGGCGGACAAGTCGTGCCCCCCAAAAATATGTATTTTCCCGTCTGGCCTGCTTAGGTGGCCTAGGGTCGGTCACGCAGCCGCTGCCCCATCTGGCCTGCTCAGGTGGCCCAAGAGGGGGGAACGGCGGCCACAGCCGTTCCAGGCGCGGCAACACGGGCCACCGTGCCTTACAGGGTGGTAACACCAGATAGCTGGGCCCACCAAAGGGGGCTAAGGCGCCCCGCATTGCCAACAGTGACCCCCAACGCCAGCGGGAGGTCTGGACCAACAGGTTCCTGATCCATGAATAGGTTAAAGGGGCCCTGGGACACACAAATGAATGCACACAAATAACTGGATTCACTATATTTTCCCATAGTTTCTGGGTTTTCGTCTTCCCCCCACTGCCCATGTGTTCCCATATTTTCTGGGGAATCGACGATTGACTGTGTCTGTGTGTGTGTGTTTTCCCCTCCCGAAACTCTGCGCTCAGAAGCCCACACACGGTATTATGTCAACGGCTGCCTCCGACGCTGGCGGGGTGCCTTACCCAAAAGGGGCCCTGACACAAGAGTAGTTTACAAGGGCTCCCAACTTCGCGCTTCGCGCTCCGCGAAGCGCGAAGCGCGAATAACTTCGCGCCCTCGCGCCGCCCTCCCAAAGGGGGAGAAGAGGAGGACGAGGAGGAGGGGGAGAAGGAACGAGGACCGCGAAGCGCGAAGCGCGAATAACTTCGCGCCCTCGAGGGAGCCCTTGAGTTTAGCTCTGCACCCAGAAGCGTCTTAGCCCATTCCGCGGGATACACGATGCTGTGTAATGCCAGAGGCAACTCCCGACGCCGGCGGGAGGTCTGGATCGCAGGGTCCCTGACAGATGTGTGGGATAATTAGCTGTGTTCAGAAACCATCGGCTCCACTCAGTGGGATAAGCAACGCTGTGCATTGCCAACGGTCACCCCCAACGCCGTTGTGGCTCAAGCGGACGAAGGAGTTCACTACCAGCGCCCCAACATAACAAATCATCGCGGAACAAAGTGTGGATAAGAGTAGTCACCAGCCCCCAAATGGCGCACCGATTCCGTGAGTCCAAGTCTGGGGCTACAACCCCATGGGCCGCTTGGGCGAACAAGTCGTGCCCCCCCAAACACGAAATGTCCTTCCTCCCCCCCTTGGGCCTGTTTGGGTGGCCCCGGGTCGGCCACACAGCCGTTGCAGGCGCGGCACCCCAGCTAGCCTGCTAAGATGGCCCAGGACGGGGAAACGTCGGCCAAAGCCGTTCCAGGCGCGACAACACGGGCCACCGTGCCCTACAGGGTGGTGGCACCAGGTAGCTGGGCCCACCAATGGGGGCTAAGGCGCCCCAAAGCCATATCATATCAAGTTTTCCTCCTCCTCCTGTTCCTCCTCCTCTCCTTCCTCCTCCTCCTCCTCCTCCTCCTCCTCCCTCCTCCTCCTCCTCCTCCTCAACCACCACCTCCTCTTCCTTCTCCTCCTCCTCCTCCTCCTCCTCCTCCTCCTCCTCCTCCTCCTCCTCCTCCTCATGGAAGTTCCTTGTCCCCCTTCCTCCTCACCCGCCTCCCTCTCCTTCCCTTCCTCTGGAAAAAAGGGGAAGAGGGAGGAACGAGCGATGAGGGAGGTACGATGGGGGATGTTGGAATAGAACGGGGGGAACGAGATAAAGAGAGAGAGAAATAGAGAGAGAGAGAGAGAGCGAAAAGGGGGCGAGGAGAGAGGGACGACCGAGGAACACAGGAGAGTGAAAACCGAGGAGAGAGGAAAGAGGAGGGAGAGAGACGACCAAGGAGAGATGGAGGAACGAAGAGAAAAGAGGAACGGGGAGGGAGGAAGCGCGGAAACATAGAGAGAGAGAGAAAGAGAAACAAAGCAAAAAGAGAGAGAGAGAGAGACTGAAAACTGCTGTGCTGGTTTGGCTCAAAGGGAAAGGAATTCCGCTGATGACAAGCCCCGCGCGTTTCCCCCCATCAGTTCCTCTTCGCTGGGGCCTTCCCGAATATGTGTTTAAGCGCGCCGAAATGTCAAGTTGGATTGACACCCCGATCATTCATGGCGATGACGACCCACCCGTTTCGATCACGAGCACGAGCACGATTTCCACTGGAACTCCAGCGCCTGAAAGTTATTCGGTCCCTGTAGCCACGCGGTCGCGCTCTATTGGTGCCGACAGCCGTAACGGTGCACCGCGTCTGGCTGGAAACACCGGTCGCCGCGTGGCCACCAGTGCCAGATCCGACAGCCGCGGCGCTGCGTCACGTCCAGCTGGAAACGCTGGCCTTCACATGGCAGCCGCCGCATCGTCCGACAGCCGTGACGCTGCGTCGCGCGTCCAGCTGAAAGATAGGTAGATCCGTCCGACACACATCCTTCTGGCCTTCCGCCTCATACCCGACGCCCCCCGGGGCCGCCGGACCCAGGTTCGCCGCAAGATGTCAGCGCAGAAGCCCAGAAGGCTCTCGCTTTCGAGATGTCTGGACTTGCCGGTGGAGGCATAAGTCTATATATTCACTCGGCCGACCGCGCCGATGGCATCTCTATGACCGCATCGCTGGCCCACGCCGCCATGGCACCCATGTTTCAAATGTTTGTTAGCAGTCCGCCGACCGTATGAGGTGGCGAGCGGCATGCGGCGTCGGCCGTGCCGTTCAGTGGTAAACCTCGGCGGAGTGCCCGAGGTCCTTGAACTTGTAGCCGGACCACTCCTTGCTGACACTGGGGGTCGTTCTCTGTTTCGTGGCCTCCGCTTCAAGGTGTACTTCCAAATCTGGACCCGCACCCAGTCCGTCTTCTTCTGCGTGGTTCTGAGCGCATGCTGCATAGCCTTGCAAGTCGGCCCTCCTGCGCATATCTCCGTCATCTGCCCGCTCGGGCGCCCTGGCGCTGTCGCCCCGCACGTCCAGCAAAAGTGACGCACGCTGCAGCGGCCCCAGCAACTGCGGTGCGACGGGTGGAACAGCTCACCTTCCAGCGCTAAGCTTCTTGCTCCATACTTCGCCTCCATCTGGCACTTCGGCTCGGCGTTTCTATTGGTCGGGTCCTCTACGCCCGTTTGAGGCCACCATCTTACGGTCTTGGTTCTATGCTCACGTAACTGCGGCGTCCCTGTCTTGACCAGCTGGTTCGGCGCTTTCTTGGCCAGGTCCTCGCAGCTGTCCTCAAGCATCATTTTCCTCGATCCACACTTCTTCGCTTCCTCCGAGCATTCCCAGGGCATCGGCTTCGCCCCGTTGAACAGCACCACGGTCGCCAGCGCAATCCTCGCTCTCACCAGTTGCGCCGGGGGCGCTTGCCCAGTCGCAGCAGCTCATCTGCGCCTCCGAGATCTCGCGCGCCTTCGCCGCCTCTCCCACGACCTCGTCAGCTTTCTGCTTGCCTTGCCAGGCAGCTGTCTCCACTCCTCTGCTTCTCGCCCCCTCTATGCTCACGTGGCTCCCAAGGCGCAGCGCTCTGAAGGCGGCGGCCCCTCGGCGTGCCAGCACCCTGCCGACGCGCTTCCAAAGGTCGCCATGCCACTTCTTGTAGCACTTGGGGAGGTACCTGTTGTTCTTCCAGCACTTGCAGGGGATCTCCGAGTCCGCGCAAGATGCGACGCCGCCCGCGGTCGACTCCAGGGTGTCTAGGAACGCCGAGATCTCCGCCCTGTCGCTGGACTGCCGCGCCCCCGGCATGGGGCGGCAGCGCTCTGAGGTCGGCGCCCGCTGTCCAGCGACCCTCTCCAACAGCAAAGCCCCAACCACGTCGCCTGCATCTCGCACCGTCTCCACGTGCACCCCCACTTCCATCGCCGCAGATGGCCAGCTCCTGGTCTTCGACGGAAGCGACCTTCTGGTCGCTGTCGATGTTCTCCGCTTAGCCTTTCCTGCTGGCTGCGCGCCACGCGGTGCATGGAGGCGGCGTCGCCCTGGCTCTCGGCGCAATACCTCTCAGCCAGAATACAGCCCATTATACCTTCCCCTGCTCGGCTCTGCCCTAAGTTCTCGGTGTTCTCTAGATGCTGCGGTCGCTCCTGCAGTTGCACTGGCCCCATGCGATGTGGGGGTCGCCTGCAATCCCCCCGCAATGGCACTTGTTGCTGGCGTCTCCGCCGAAAACATTCTGCCGTCTCCGCCGTGATCAAACTCCTCCGTAAGCAGCGTTCAAGAAGGCCCCGAACGGCTGGTGTCTACTGCACTTCTCGAGCTTCCTTAGGTACATCTTCAACTCGCACGCGTCCGCTCCGCAACGCAGTCCAGCCCCGTCGCGGCGCTGGCCGGTCGCGAATTCAACTTCAGGTCCTCGGCAATCACGCCCAGCAAATCCGCGGGGGCATCGTCGCCGTCATCGGGTTGGAGCTGCCATCCTCCTCCTTTAGCGCCCGCCGAGAAGTCCACCGTCGGGGCATCCCAGCCGACCGCCCAGTCCTGCAGGATGATGGATGCAATCGCTCCTCGTGGCTGGCCCCATCTCGTTGCGCGCGGCGCACGTAGGACTCGCTCTCGACTGCGACGCCAAGCTCTGCGCCCACCTCCTCGCGCGCCCCCCCTTCCCTCGCGCGCGCGCGCCCCCTGCCCCGTCAAGCCCGAGGCCCCGCCCCCCCGTCGCAGGCTTGGCGCGGACCACCAGCTCCTCCATCTCATTGGCCGCTTTCTCCGCCACGCCGAAATCTGCGCTAAACAATGCCGACTTGCGAGCAATGGCGAGCCCTTCCAGTTCCAACGCCTTGGCCAGTAAACGCGCGTCGTTGATGATGGCCTCCCCAACCTTCGTTTTGCCCCCCGCTGCTCGGAGCCCGACGCCTTCGAACCAGGTCCGGCTGCGCCATCCCCCCCCTGTTGCCCATGGCCCTAACCACGTGGCATGCCCTAACCACGTGATATGCTGGGCCTCGACCCTGCGAATAGGCTTCACAGAACGTAGATAGGCAAGCTGCAAGCACCCGCCACCTCGAGCATCCTTGGCGCCAATTGTAAGCGCATTGCCGCTGCCAGCACCGCCGGCGGGAAGCCGCGCCCGGCCGCCCTGGGCGCGACCTCCCCGAAGACCAGCGGCGAGTGGACCCCCAGCTCTCGCGGCGCCTCGTCCACGAGCGCCCTTGCCATAGTTTTCCCCAGGCAGGAATTCCGTGTCACCGCTGCGTCGAAGACCACCTCCACGTCCTTCGCCCGCACGCGGCTCTGGCTCCTGTCGAGCCACGTTCTGGCGATCCACGCGAGCAGCGCCAGCGCTCGGCCGCCCCCTCCCGGCGGGGCCGAGTCGCCAAGCCTCTCTGAGCCCACCGGCAGGGGCATGGCCAGCGCTTGCAGGGCCGGCCATGGCCGCGGCATCCTCTCCTCGCACTGGTTGCACATACCGACGAAAGCTTCCATGCTCTCTTGGGGCGGGCGCTCGGCGTCATCCATGGAATCACGTCTGCGCCCATTCCCTTGTTAGGGATGCCCTTCGTCACGATGTCGAAGTCCTCCAGCGCCCACCTCGGCGCCGGCGCGTCGGCGACCCGCTCGCGACGTTGGCGCGGCACTTCCTCGGCCGCAACGCGGACCCTCTCGGCCCCCCACATCCCCTCGCAGCCGTCGGCCCGCAGGTCGACGCTCTCCTTCGGGCTGGTCGCCTTCGAGCCCTTCCTCGTGCACGCATCTTCGCGCCTCCCCCGAGGCTTCGCGATCTCGCGCGTCGCTTCTGCCACGTCGGTCTCCGCGCCGGCTGCCCGCGCCGCGCGCTCTCGGGCCCCCCGTCGCAGGCCTGCCTTCAGCGAGATGAGGCTGTCCAGCTTCGCCTGCTTCGCCATCCCTTCCTGCGCGCAGGAGCCCACCTTCTGGGCGCCCTTGATTCTCTGCCCCCAGATATTGCTGCGTGGCGTTGCCGTTAGTGAAGCATGTCTTCTGCTGATGGTACTCCTTCTAGCGAGAGCCCCCCGCAGCCGGCTGCTAGATGTTCTCGCCGCTGAGGCGCCCCATCCTTCCTAGCTCGTGTCGCGCGCGAGTCAAGAGTTGTAGCCATTATACTCCACCGGTCGGTCTTCCTCGTGCCGGCGTTCACCCTGCGCCAGCCCCACTCCCGCAGCGCGTTTTCAACGAACTGGCAAGCGCCCCCTCTGCCCTCGCACCTCTTCCGGTCACTCTTCGGGGCCCCGCGCGCCTCGCAATCGAAGCCCTTCATCGCGGCCATGCACGCCGCGGGCTCACGGGGTGTCGGAGATCCACCTACAGATGCTGACCACTCCGTCGGCGCCCACGACGGCGCTCGCGCCGTCGTCGTCGCGGGCCCCGGCTCGAGCCCGCCGCCGCCCGCCGCGATGTTGCCCCAACGAACCGACCTTAGCATCTGACCAGCTACGTCAGTTCCAAGCCCGACCTCTCGGCCCGTCGCCGAAGCAGCCGGAAGGGCCACCGTCGCGGACCTAGGGTTGCAGCCCCCGCGGGTTGGAGCGCTGGCGGTGGCTCCTCTCGTGGCCCGCGATGGAGCGCCCAGTCCTCCTCGCTCTCCTCGATCATGTCTCCCCGGGGTGCCCGTGTCGGCGGCGGTGCGCTGCGTGCTCTTCATGGCATGTCATCATGCTTCGACTGCGTTTATCTCTCGCCCGCTGCCATGGCCCTCTCATCGGCGGCACCGCGCGCCCTATCCCCGCGTTCTTGTGGCACCCCGCGGCGCGCCCCCTAGCCGCCGAGCACTCCGTCGCCGGTCTCCTCGCCTGGGAGCAAGGAGAAAGACGCCCGGCCAATTGGCGAGATCGACGCCCGACGCGCGTTTGCCATCTCGTTGTAGTTCAGTTCCGGTTTCTGTCGTTGCAGGCGCGGTGGTGCCTGTGCTTCGCGCTCGGCCCGCCCTTGCCCTCGCCGCCTAGGTTCGGCCTCCTCCGCGCCCCCAGCTCCGGGCGGCAGAGCGCCCTCGGCAGCGCCCGCCCCCCGGCGACGCCGCGCTTGATCTCCGCCCTGACGCGCAGCTTCTGGCCGACGCGCAGCGACCAACTGACGTCTGCGACGGGCTCGAGGTCGACGAAGCGCCCGAAGGCCCCGGGGCTTGCGCGCGCGAGGTCGACGGGGAAGGGCTCCGCGTCGGCCCTGTAGCAGGTCAGCATGTCCACGGGTAGCGCATGGATGCGCGCGCCCACGCGCACGTCGAAGCATCCTGCGCTCGCGAACCCGGGCGCGCGCGCGTTGCAGACCCCCACAACTACCCGCGGCTTCCGCGACGCCCCTGCAAACCCCCGACCTCCGCCACCCTCCCTGCATTGGCCCCTTCCTTTTGCGGCTGGCCGCACATTGAGTGGACAGAGATTAGGGAGTTGCCTTCGAGGTGCTTCCGCGCGCGAGCCCCCTGGAGAACGTCGACGCAGCCCGCCCTCGCCGCAACCGCTGCGCCGCTCCCCGCGCCCCCGGGGGGCCTTCGGACTCGACGGACTGCCGGCCCGCTGCGCGGCGCGCCTCGACCCCTCGCCCCACCCGCAGCAGCGAGCGCGTCTCCAGCGCGATGCACGCATGAAAACCTTGCCCGCTGCGTTTCCTGCCGCCAATCCTAAGGCGCAAGGCGCGCCCCCTAAGCCGCGACTCCACGGCCGGCCCCCGCGCGGCGACGTCGCCGACGAAACGATTGCCGACGCCCTCCGCGGCCCCCACTTAGCGACGGGCGCCGGGGCGCGACCGCCAGGCGGAGACCCCGGGCGGGGCGGCCCCTCCAGCGACCTCCGCCCCGGCCTTCTGGCGCAACTCGCCCTCCATGTCCACGCCCCCCTTACCCTCTGCCGTCATGCGGCCGTCAGTCCCACCGCCGCCTGCGCCCGCCGCTGGCGACGATGCTACCGCTGAGGGTGGCGGGTGCGCTTCCTCCCTCGACTCTTTCGCGTCGATCCCCCTCTTCTTTGCATTATGCCCGAACGCCTCCCTGCCCTTCGCCGCCAGCTCCTTCGCCTTGCCCGTGCGTTCCTGGAGCTGGGTGGCGCAGCTCTTCGCGCCTTCCTGCAAATCCTTCGGCGCCTTCATCGCGGCCTCCACGACCGCCAGCTTCGCCGCTTCGCCCACCCCCTCGCCCCCTCTCTGGGTCGACGACGCCGTCGAGAGCCAACTGCTCGGGAGTCCTGGTGATCAGCTGCAGCGTGGAGCTCTGCGGCTGGCACCTCCCTCCGCCGTGGATATTCTCGGGCGGCGCCTCCTTCTTCGCGACCTCCGTGGCCTTCTCCTCAAGCTTCTCCTGCCACTCCTGGAGCAACGCCCTCTGCTTCTTCGCCTGTGTGGCAACCGTCATGAACTACGAATTGGCGATTCCAAAGGCTTCTGCAGCTTCGGCGAGTCTCTCGGGTCGTGCATGCACCTTCGGCGGGTCGGCCTGCGCTTCGACCTTGGCCGCGAAGCCCCTGAGCTGGCCGCCTAACTGCGCGCCGCCCGCCAGCTGCGCGCCGCCCTCTGCGATCGGCGCGAGAGCCTGGGAGAACTCCTCGGCATCCGCCCGTCGGCCTTCTCGCTCCTCCTTGCCGCAATTGCTGCCGCGGCTGATGTCGCATCCCTGCCGGCTGAAGTTTCGCCGGCTGTTGTAGGACCGGGCCTCCCCGAAGATGGCCTCGCAGCATCTGCGTTGGAGGCCCCCCCCCCCCAAACCTTGCGCGCGATCCAACCGTGGCACTTCCGCGCGGAGCAGCTCGTGAACCCGTCGCCGTTGCACTGCCAGCTCTTCGGCAGCAAGACCCCGCGGCGCGCCCACGAGATCTCCCTGGCCCTCGCCAGAGACAGCAGCCTGCGCGCCGAGGCCCGCGTCCCCCGCGCTCGTCTGTGCCAAGCTGGAGACCGACAGCGGCGCCTCCGTCTCCGCGATCGTTCGCGCACGCCGCGCGGGCGGCCGCGGACTGCGCGCTGGGCGCTCGGACACGCCCAACCACCGTGGCAACCGGCGCCCCCCACGCAGCAGCGCACGGCTGATGTGGTGCACGCAAACGCTGTGGTCTACACAGGCGCTGTGGTGCCCGCAGGCATTGTGGCACACACTGGCGCTGTGTTGCACGCAGCTGCTGTGGTGTACATTACCGGTGTGGTGTACACAGTCGCCGTGGTGCACGCGAGCACTGTGGTGTACAATGGCATTGTGGTGCTGATTGCCACCTAAATGCTGCTGCGACCCGTCCCCGGTCATTGCTAAGCATTCCCAGACGCCGCTGGCGCGAAACGTGACGTCGTCGGCCCCCTGCCCCCCCAGATGATTGCCGCCATCGGCCCGGAATAAACAAACAGGCTCCAAGCGCGTCCGCGCGCACGACGACGATGAGCGACGACCGACGAGCGACGGGCGACGATGGACGAGCGACGAGCGACGACGACGACGACGACGACTCCAGACAAAACTCTTATGCGGACACCTAGGCGGATCTCGATGCGTACGGCGGCAATGCCCAAATCGCACTGGGGGGGAACGTTCCGTAATGGGGGGGGAGCGGAGGCCATGACGCCCGTCATGCGCTGAGTAATAAAAAACATGTTACCCCGAGGGGGTCGAAATCGTAAACCGAAATCGGGGCGCCCAGCTACGAAGTCTGGGTCCTTCTAGTTTGCAACTCAACCAGTGCAGCCTGTAGGTAAGGTAACTGCTGATCGACCGTGGAGACTCGGTTCTCAAACGCTGGCACGCGTCCCTCTGATGCATCAACACGTTAAGCAATAACCGTCTCGGCAGCACACAACTTACCGCGCAACTCGGACGTTGTTCTAGTACTCTCGGAATGGAGGTTGGCAGTGGCCACATCAACGTGATCACGAAGCGCAGCGAGGTCATCACGGAACTGCCGATCCGTAGTACCATGTAAATGGCAGGAGCCCGCCGTAATGTCAGGATCTCGTCGTGTAGATGCGGACAGCAACAGTGCCCGTATCCTTGACGCTCACGAGCTGCGCCTCCATGGCGAAGAGGTAGTCGTGCAGCGTCTGGATGGTACTGGAGCCGGCACCTCCGTGTGATTCCACACGGTATATTTGATACTGGACCTGATGTAAGATCGAACGATCCCCGGCGATCCGAGCGTCAACCTGGCAAAACCATGCAGGATCGCTTGCCTCAGATAGTTTGCTGTTTGCGTCGCGTGATCGGCGACTGTGGCTGCAAGGCCCGACAACTGCTGGGTCGTGTAAGTCCCAACCTGGTTTCTGGGCTCTGCCAAATCACTGGCGGAGGGCGATACTTGTGGTGCACTGTCGCGCCGCAGGGAAGTCTGCCGTGATCGCTTGTGGGAGGGATAACGATAACGTCCCCACTTTGAAGCTGGAAACGATACCGTTGGGGGGTCCTCGTTGTCAGGTCGTTCCAGTACGATCCTCAATGGCTCGCACGTGTTCAGACACAGGAGCCGATGTGGGCCTCGTAGGAAGTCGGGCGTCCCAACGGCGGTGTCGCCCGGAAACGTTCGGAGGAGGCGTTTCGTTTGCGCCACCAACGAAAGTTGAAGAAGGCTTCAAAGCGAATCCAGCGGTGGCGACGAAGGCGTCCGCGAGTGTTCCCGCTGCCGAAAGTTCTGAACGAATATCGGCTTCAAGTGACTGAACGGTCGAGAAAGCTGGGTCCATACCCTGGGGTGAACGATTGCGCCGGCACGGAAGACTCGAAAATCTCCACATCATCCTGCTGCGCACGTCGAAGCGCAGCTTCGAATCATGCATCGGCGATGCCTTCTCCTGGTAAGGAGGGATTGTGGTACCATTCCCTGTCCCACAGCCTTTTTCCGTGTCGTCGCGACGCCCATGCACCGTCGAAGAGCCACCGCGCATAGATGCACTGGTCCCCGTGGGGTCCAGCGCCACGCGCGAAGATCAAGGGCGGCGCGAGGTGTCGCAAGTGAGAGCGTTACGGAAGAGGCTGATAGGCGGTGGACGGAAGTTGACGACCAATGGGTCGAACCTACCGTGGGGTCCGTAGGTAGAGGACGATAGGGATAAAACAGGAGTATCTTTTGTCCATGCACACATGTGAACATGGGCGCGCAAGATGTCCAACAGCACTGTTCAATACCTGAGCCGAGAAGATAGCAGGATAGATGGAGAGAAACGGGAGATGAGCGGTCTTCACACACACACACACACACACACACACACACACGTCAGGGAGCCCGAACATTGAAAGAAATATCAGGGCGTCTCCCTTTGGCCTGTTCGCCTTAGGGCGATCCTCCACCCTCCATCCTCACCACGCTGTCGGCCATGTCGTGACTGGGTATCCATCCTCGTCCTGCTCCTCCCCGCGTTGCCTGGTTCCCGTCCATCGTGAAGAGGCGCCTCTGCAGCTCCGTACCCAGGGCCTCGAGCTCGGGCTCGACCTCTGCTCGAGGGGCGTGTGATTGCGGTTCGTCGTCGCCGTCGTCGCGGCCGTCTGTGCCGCCGTCGTCGCCGTCGTTGTCGTCGTCGTTGTCGTCGCCATCGTCACGGCCGCCATCGTCGCCCTCGTCGCCTCCTCCTTCTCCTCCTCCTCCTCATCCTCATCCTCCTCCTCCTCCTCCTCCTCGTCATCGTTTTCGTCCTCCTCCTCCTTCTCCTCCTCCTCCTCCCGTTCCTTCTCTTCCATCTTCTCCTCAAATTATCCGTTGTCCTGCTCCTCCTCCTCCTTCGCTTCTCCTCCTCTTTTTTCTGCGTCGGCCAGACCTTACGCTTGCGCGTGTGGCGCTCTTGAAGTGCAGCAGCAAATGATGTGCAAACCACTCGGCGCGAAGTGTACCTGGCGGGCGCCGCGGCTACGGCGGCACCGAGAGACAGTGAAAAAAACATAAGTGGAATAGTAGGCGCCGGCCAGGTAACGCACCTTGTACCTTAGTGGCGAAGCCCACAGCAGTTGAAAGCCATTCGACATATGCTTTATTTGGCATGTGCGGCGACAATGCTAAGGTAACAAAAAAGAGTGCAGTGGCGCCGCTTTGACTGTGCAGTTCTTGGGCTGTTACCCAGGACTTTGGTTGACCCCAAACCGCATGTAAGTGCTCGCCTCGGCCTCCACCGTCCTCATACATCGCCTCCGACCCCCATCCATTTTACAGAACAGGTGCCAGCTTGGCAGACTGCAGCGAGCAGAACAAAATGTGTTTGCAGCTAGAGAGCATGGAGAAAAACGTGAGAGGGCGTCGAATAGAATGAGGTGTAGGAGTGCGGTGTACGCCTTTTTGGTATAGCAAGGCGTGCCTGAAATGTAATGTCGTGCGACTGATCATGACGTACGGCAGCAAAAACATGTCGCTATAGCGACAAAATACGGCGTGCGCCTAGCGCCTTTAAAATGTACATCCCGTGCCCCCGCGTATCACCGACCCCACCACCCAAGCGCAAGATCGGTACACTTGCTGTGCTGCTAGTATTCGTGCGTGGGCAGACTGTTCACGTAGAAGTTGTGGCAAACGAGTCGTGTTAAACAACTTGTGTTCGTAGGCTGCCAAATGTGCCGAAAAACTGTCTGATGTTGTCCGCCGTTGCTGGGCGAAACGTATTTCGGCAGCGAACCTATTGACGCAGGGTTGTGCAGGATCGTCCCGAACCTTAGCTGGGTGTCGGAAAGGGGAGCGCAAGACGGGAAGCGCATAGCGCAGCAGCGGCGGGAGGAAAGAGAAGTGCCGGCATGAAGACACGGGGGCACGTCTCTTGTACCCTAGTGCACCTGGGCTGCTGTTGGGTGGATGACGGGTATTTGTAGTGCGGGTGGTGGTGGGTGTGCTGGCATGACTAGGTGGGATGGTGACCATGTGATCACGGTGGTGAATGTGGGTGTCCGTCTTTTGCGTCGCTAGCACGGAGTTGGTGTTGGGCGTGGTTGGTAGTTGTTGTGTTGGCTGATTGGCTTGGACAACCAGGTGTGCTGGTGGTGGCTTGTAGGGTCGCTGATTCGTTGGCGTGGTGGTGGCTGTGATAGTCTTGCCGACGTGGGTGTTGGGCATAGGTTTGCGTGGGATCGCGTGTTGTTGCGGTTAGGTGTGGGTGTGCATGGTGGGCGTCTGGTGATGCCAACCGTGCACACCCAACCGCATCGGGCGTCTGCTTGAATGGCGTCTTTGAGCTTGAGTCTCTTTGTGCCTGTTGCCAGTGGGAGGGTGAAGGTCGATAGCGGTGAGGCGCTGGAATCGGGTCGTAGTGGTGGATGCGATAGACATTGCTTCCCATATTGGTGGGCGAACATGTCGTTGTTGTACTTGTTGAGGTATCTCCTCCGCCTCCTCCTCCTCCCACTCAGTATCTACCTCCCCGTAACACTCTTCTCCTGATTGATACAGCCCCCTTATCCTCATACACCTCCTTCTCATCCTTCTCCTCCTCCTCCTCCTCATCCTCAACCTCCTCACCATCAGCAGCAGCAGCATCATCATCATCAGCAGAAGCATCAAAAACATAATCATCCTCATGGTCAGCATCATCAGCATCGTCATCATCATTATCAGCATCATAATCAGAATCATCATTATCATCCTCCTCAGCAGCATAATTATCACCAGCATCATCACCGTCGCCATCATCATCACCATCATCCTCAGCAGCAGCATCAGCATAGCACCAGCATCAGCAGCATCATCAGTATCAGCATCATCATCATGATCATGAGCAGCATCATCAGCATCATGATCAGCATCAGCATCCTTATGTGCATCAACAGCAGCGTCATCATCATCACCAGCATCATCATCAGCAGCATCGTCATCGTCATCATCAGCAGCAGCGACATCCGCATTATCACCATCACCATCACCAACACCAGCATCAGCAGCAGCATCAGCATCAGCATCAGCATCAGCATCATCATTATCATCATAATCAGCATCATCGGCATCAGTTGCATCCGTTGCATCATCATCATCATCATCATCATCATCATCATCATCATCATCATCATCATCATCATCATCATCATCATAAGCAGCAGCGGCAGCATCACCGTCATCAACAATATCACTATCAGCATCATCATCCGTATCATCATCGTCATCTTGTCCTGCTCCTGCCCTTCGGCATATCCCGTTCTCATTTTCCTCCTCCGTTTCATCGGTCCTCTGCTCCTCTTCCTGCCCGTCTTGCCCCCCTCCGCCGCCTCCTCCTCCACCTTGTCCTCCTCCTCCTCGCCCTCCTCCTCCTCATCCTCCTCCTCCTCCTCTGCCTCATCCTCCTCCTCCTGCTCCTCACCCTCCTCCTCCTCCTCCTGATCCTCCTTCTCCTCCTCTCACCGTCATCCTCTGCTCCTGCTCCTCCTCCTCCTCCTCCTCCTCTTCCTCCTCCTCCTCCGCCGGCAGCAGCCGCCCGACCCCGTCAGTTTTGCTCAGGAGCATCTCAGCTTCCTCGAACGGTCGGGCCTCGACCCTGAGCATCCTCTGGTCAAGACGGCTACCCAGGAGCTTCAGCAAGCAAAGCGCTCAGCATTGTCTTCGCGCAGTCTTCAGGACCAGCTCAAAAGCTTGGTCGACCAGCTGGATGCGCAGAAAAAGAAGTTAACGAATACCCGTTCCGCCAACAACACGTTGTTGGGCAAGATTTCACAGCTCCTGGATCAGCACTTCAAGGGGGATAAGAAATCCGAAGGTACGATGGAGAAGTCAAGGCCCTTGAAGCCCAGTTGGCAGTCACTCGGAATGCAGCTGTCGCAGAGCGGTCAGTTCAAGCCGGGGTCCTCAGCTTTGTCCAATCTCACCTCCCCAGCCTCCCTGGCTATCAGCCTTCCCCCCAACTCCCGGGCCTCATGGAGGGGTTGGTCAGAGAACTTGAGCAGGCTAGGCTGCTAAAGCAGAACGCGGCGACAGCAGCAGCAGGAGGGGCACCCGCGGCGGCGGCGGCAGCGGCAGCGCCGGCCGTACCTCCGCCCGTGGTGGGTGCTGAGAACGTCCCTCCGCTCGGCGCGAGCGCAGCGGGAGCCGGGCAGTGGGAGCAGATGGGGAAGCGGAGGCTGGAGGAGGAGGAGGAGGAGGAGGAGGAGGAGGAGGAGGAGGAGGAGGAGGAGCGGCAGCGGGAGCAGGAGCAGGAGCGGGAGGAGGTGGCCCACCTCCGCAGCAGCAGCAGCCGCAGCAGCCACAGCAGCCTTCTCCCCCGCAGCCTCAGCAGTAGCACCCTCCTCAGCAACAGTCTCCACAGCAACAGCAAGCTCCAGGCCAGGCAGGTGGCGATTCACCTCCCGATAAACCTGAAGAGTTGGCAATTCTCATGGATCAGACTGACCAGCACCAGCTCAACAAGCGAAGCTTGGCGGCGCACCTCAATGCTTTGGCCTCGAGGCCAACCCGGACCCCACCCAGGAGACAGTCCTCAAGCGCCTCAAGACCCACCAGTAGGCACTCAGCAATCCCAAACAGGATGGGTAACATCCTCAGGGTGGCGACTGTAAACGGTAGTTGTTGGAGAGCCGTGAAAGATTTCGTCACTACGCCTTTCTCAGCCTCGTCCAGCGTCATTCTCGCCCAAGAAGTTCGCCTCTGTCGACCAGAGGCTATCAGCATGGCAACATCGTGGGCCAGGTCAGTGGACTGGCAGGCTGTCATTACACCAGCGACTGTCCGAGTGCAGCAGGGCTTCAGGGGGCACGGCCACCTTGATTCGAGCTGGCTTAGATTACGGTGTTCAGCC